ATTCAAATCACTTTTCGCATTTTGGCGCGAATAGTGGCGCCACTTAAAACGCGCTACTATTCGCGCCAAAATGCGAAAAGTGATTTGAATCAAGAGATACTTTGCTGACCGTCGATTCATATAATAAACTCTTCAGAAAAAAATTTGAACCGATTCTGTTCTCCATATAAAAGGTCGATTTTCCGCTAATGCTTAAACGAAAGAAAGAATCGCTAGTTTTAAAATATTTTCTCAAGGTGGGCCCACCTTAACTCCAGGACAGCTATGGTGTTACAAAGTGAGGACAGCTACGAAAGGATAAATGATGAAAAACGACACAACGAAACAAACTAAACAACGACTCGCGCCTGTGTTTAAGTTCAGTAATATTGATAAAACAATCGTTTAACTACATTCCAGAAAAATAATTTTTGTAACAGTACTGAAAAATGATGAAATGTTCCACGTTGATTAAGTCAATTTTAAAGGCATTCAAACCATGAAAAGCGCATTTACTCTTCTTAATACTAGGAAATTTACGTCTTTCTTATAATAACGATAAATCTGTATAAAAACCTTTAACATAAACCGGCTTTTATTTAGATCTCGATTTAAAATGTACCCTAGAAAAGTTTTTGCCTCACACTTCAACAAAGTAGTCCATGAATCAGCACGAACATTTTGGTAATTATTAGACAGCCAATAAATAGTAGCAAAGTAGAACGTTACGGTAAAGTTTCTCATTTGTCATAGATGGTAACTGACAGTCAATCACGATGCACTTCTATTTATTAACGACGTGCCCTTTCTGTTCCTTCTCACTATAAAATCTGAGGAGAATCTCTATCTTCTTCTGATCTTCATATAATTTCTCATATTCAAAACTGTATCAGTTCTGTTTCTTGTTGTTCGTTTAATATTATACCTCTGGGAGCATATCACAAAAAAACTTCAATCTGACTAAACTAAGTCAACATTTGGACTTAAGTTTTCGTTATGTGCACTTACGTGCTAATTATATACACTTAAGTCTGACTTAAGTCTAGACTTTGACCTATTTTTCGTGGCACGACCCACTGATGTCTGTGTAACCTTATAACTTGTGGTATTCCACTGATGTTCAGTTCCATCAAGAACTATGTCACGTCCACAGGCAAGAACAGTATCTACGGTATTATCAGTAATTTATTTCTTATGTCGAATATCTTGACTTGACAATCCTGACAAAATACACAGAAAAACTTTCAGAAAATACTAGCGCGAGTCCTATAGAATATTTCCATTTTTTAACAGAATTGAAATGTTCTGTTCTTTTCTTGTGATACATTTGAGCACCAAAATGGTCTAGAATTGTGTTCGATCCCAGCTCGTGCAAGGATTGATTTTGTTAAGGTTTGACAGTTTAAGTTTCAGGAGCCTGTTTCTCAGAAAAACTTAAGTTAAACAGACGTCATGCAGTAAAAACTACTCATATTTTAACAAATTTAGATTATTTTTATAAAATGTTTTGTGCAAAAACCTGCTAAAATTATTTTCTACCTAATTATTTCGGGTCTGACTAAGAAAAAATCTAAAATAAAGAAGTTACGAATTATAAATAATTTTTCACTTAAAAAATTAAGTGAAAACTTAAGGGTGGTCGAGAAGTCCCTTAAGTTAAAAAGATGCTGTCGAGAGCCTCACTTAGCAGAAAAATCTTACTTAAATCAAATTTTTCACTTAAGTAAAACATTTTAAGCGAAGTTTTTTTGATGAACAGGCTCTAGAATGATATAATGGGAATTTATAATCTCGATCTTGTCCTGGTTCAAGATTAAAGCTTAAATCAAAAACATTAGTTTTAACCACCTTGGATAAAGGAAAGACTAAACATTCCAATGTAGTATTTTAGCAGTTGACCTTTTTTTAAGCAAAAACACGAGACTCTTTTGGTTGAACAATATGCTCTTTCAGATGGCTGAAAATGTAAAATATCTTCCGAACATGCACAAGGATTTTGTGCATGATATTTCATTCAATTTATATGGTAATCGATTAGCGACGTGCTCGAGTGACAGTAACATTAGAGTAAGTGCTGTTTAATACAAAAAATAAAATATTATTTTGATTTAAATGTTATCTAGATTTATGATTTACAAGAGAGTGGCGTGTGGAAACAAACATCAGTATTGCCCGTAAATTGGCTTGATAACTCCTCTCTTTTCCTGATTTTTATGTTCTCTCCTAGATTTAGGTCTCACCTACGGCGGGTCCTGTTTTGCGTTTGTGTTGGGCACATCCAGAATTTGGAGTAATTATAGCAACAGCTACTTTCGATCGATTCGTTAATGTCTGGGAAGAAGTATGATGTATTTTCAAGACAACTGAAGATAGTTATACACTGATATATTATTTTCTTAGGTCCCAGCATCGCTAAGTGATTCAGAACTTTATGCAACAAAATGGGTGAATAAAGGTAGGAATACTGTAACTATTAAAACTGCTTATTTTTAAAAAATTGTTTTCAAGGACCCTTATGTGATTTGGCATCGACTTATAACACAGTTGCAATAAAATTTGCTCCAAAACATTTAAATTTAATATTAGTAGGATAAATTATAATTATTGTTTTTCTGTTAAGTAATTTGTTTACTTTACTTTTAGGCTATTGCATTTTATGATGGTATTGTTCGATTTTACGACTTTACCGATGGTGAAGGACGAATAAAGGAAGAGATTCAAACAAAAATGTCTTGTTTGAATTGTTTATCATGGAGTACTGCAAGGTATATATCGTTGGTTCAACATCAATATAATAAACTTTAAATATGGATATATAAAAATTTTGTATGATTTAGGTATCATTTACCTACTGTGTTGGCTATTGGAAGTGACGATTGCAATAGTACAGGAAATAAATTACAGTTATGGGAGTATGATATGAACCGGTAATTATTTGGGGGCTTCTTTTATTTATCAGAGAGAAACTAAATTTGCATTTTTTTTCTATTAGTAAAGCAATTAAAGTTGAACAAACAATAGCGATGACAGACACAATAAAAGATTTACAATTTGCTCAAAATTTTGGACAATCCTATCACTTATTAGCTGTAGCATCACATTGTATTCAACTAGTTACCATAAAACCACAAAAGTAAGAGAATTATCTCAAAAAAAAGTATTATTATTTGTTATTTGAGCAAGCATATTGATTGAGAGAAATAATCGTAAAAAAATTGAATTTTTTATTTTAGTAACGAAAAGACATTGTCTCTATGTTTTTTCTGATTGCATACGTTTTTACTTTGTTATAGAAAAGAACCCAATGATTTGAAGGCAAGCGTATATGAATTCAGAATAATATCGACTTTGGATGATCATGGATCAACAGTATGGCGTGTATCGTTTAATGTGTTTGGCTCTGTTTTGTATAGTTGTGGCGACGATGGACGTGTTAGACAATTTAAAGGTTAGAAACAAAGATGTCATAATTTAACGTTAAATCATTTCTCTTTACTTTACAGGTTCAACGAATAATGGTCCATGGATATGCATTAACACGGTACAAACAGATGGATCAATGATTCCAACTCATGAAAAGCCTATCACTGAATCAAATCGAACAGATATTTCATCCAATGAGTCGATTACTACGAAAAGTGAATGAGTTTATGTATTTGTACTTTTTCTTTATTACTATTTTTCAATATGTCAGATGAAGATATTTGTATTGGTTCTATTTTTCACTTTTGTTCCGCATAATTACAGTAAATCAATCGTATGTTTCTTTTTTCTGATTCTTAAATTGTTTGTAAATACAGTAAAAACAACTATTTACTATGATGTTAAGTATGATAAAGCAAATTGCAAGTAAAAATAGACTAACCCTTTATGCCCGATTGCCCCTGCCAGAGGATATCACCATAACTGCTATAAAAAAAGTAACGCACTGCTAAATCAAAATTTTTGCCATAGGATTTTTTCCAGTGTAAGGTGACACTATATAAGCTAATGATTACTAATAACAAAAAAATTTCATCAAATCTAACCAAAGGTATACACGTTTCAAGTTTGATTTGTATGATCAGTTGCCAGGCGTAAAAGAGTTAACGAAAGAATGTGCTTGCTTGTAGTTTGGGATTAGTTATGTTAAAAAAAGTTCAGTTTTGAATGAACAAGTTTTCTATCATTTATAAAATCCTCAAAGATGCAGGAAAGCAAAAATTATTCAAAATAACGAAAACGTGTCGCACTTGTTTAAAATTGATTCATTGCTCTTAATTAGTTTTCTTAACAGTTTAACTGTAGTCTTCTTCAATTCAAGTCATATTTTCGATTCAATTTCATGAGAGGAAATGTTTTAGAGAAATTGTACAAATTTTACTGCCAAAAAAGTTTCCTATAAATTTCGTGTGAGGAATTTTGTAAATTATCCTCATATCGTCATAATTGAAATCGTTGCATTTACGCTGAAACAGCATTGATCAGCCTAATCAGTCCTATTCTTTTCGTGCATATTTTTAGTATCTACTGATATAAGTAAACAATAAGAATGAAAAAAATACTCTATTTTTTGTTCCATTCTGTTTATTCTGTAAAATATTCTGATAAAATATTCCAGAAATGAGATGAATGACACACATATCTATTGATCATAAAAACAAATGACTTATTAGAAAAATTGAATATATTTTCAGAATGTGTGAAGAGCAAGAAAAAATCATAATCATTTTCACGACTACATGTTCTTTCTCTTTCGGATGAATATAGAATATATATCCGACTGCCAAAAAATTTATATAGCACGAGATTGATCGTTTACGTGTTTGTAAGATAAACAAGGCATAACTCATATAATCTTTATTACTAACATATTTTTAGTCTTTTTATGTTCCATTTCTTATGGGATGTTAGAAAGAGTGGGTTCAACGTAAAGTTAATCATCTTCGTATACGAGAAAGAGAGAGAGAGAAGAAATAATAACAAACAGATGAAGAGATGTGTACAGTGTATCGAGATGGTGGAAAAATAGTTTCACCAACTTATTCTTTTTTCTCTTTAATAATAATAGTTAGATAGTGTTAACATAGGACTCAACGACCTCGAACTATTTGGCATTATATCAAAAATATAATTATATTTGTATTCATATCGAATGTAATAAAATTTTACGTTTTTCTAAATAAATTATATAGATGATTAATATAACGTTTGTATAGATAAAGACTGAGTAATAAATAATAGAATGATTCATTCTATAAAAATGCTGAATTTTTTATTAAGAACTAAAGTCAATGAAAATATTTTTTACAATAAAAATTGCAATTGATTTGTGATTTTATATTCACTAACATAATTTATACAGATATCTACTTGATGAAGAAAAATTGGTTAAAAGTTCAAATAGACACAAGATCCTCAATATATTTAATAACCTCAATTCATGCTGATAGAAAACTACGTGATTTTAGCGTATTTTTTTTTGTTTTCTACGTCAGATAAAATATTAAATATTGTGTTTATAAAAAGCTACTAGTTTTTTTTTCAAATTTCAACTAATAGTTGATGAATAATTTGTAATGAAACAAGACATTAAATTATACTCAAATGCACACATGACTATCTGTATGATCAAGTCAGAAAATGAAACTTCAAATCATTAACTGCAGCGCTTCTTGAATTCTCTCACGAAATCAATTTTCAATTCCACCCAACATAGTCGAATGACTTTTATAAAATAAGGATAGAGTCTTCTATCCTTGCAATAATAAGTTCAAAAAGTGAAAAGACCAACTTTGTCAAAAAATAGTAGTCACATGTACGAGTCAATCAGCAGATAACCTGGAAAATAATAATAAACATAAAAACACCTTTTTATGTTTGATTATTTGACACATATATATCAATAGTTAAATTACAATACGAACAAATAGAAAAAAATTACTCTCTTTTTAATTATGTTAAACACATTGAAGAATTTAAATGCACTTTAGCTGTTGGAGATCGCTACATCAATGATCTTTCAGAAACAAAGAGCAAAAACTTCTGTGTGTTTGTCACTTTCTATATTCTTATGTAATATCGTCAAACCACTATTACATCTTTGATTGAAAGAAATTGTCATAGAAAACCATTTAAATTTTCCACGATCACGATCTGCTCTATAACTTCCCTTTTCAAAATAAAAAAGTATGACTAAGTTTGAAGTTTGTTTACATCGACTCGTAATTGGTTTGATTACTTTTATTGATGCTATTGATCATAGCGCGTGCTTGTAAAAATTTATGTGTACAGATGTGAAAATAAGCTTTTGCATGTGGTGCAAACATCTTTTTAAACAGTATATTATCATACCAGGGTCTGATGTAGTTCTTCTAACCTCTTTATAGTATATAACTTTTTATACTGTATAACTCTTCATACTATAACTCCGTCATTGGCGTGATGTACGTCTTCGAAGAAGTTTCTTTTCTATCGGCGTCTTTATTTTCATTCGTTTTTTCTCTCTCTCTCTGTTTTCGATTTTTGTCTGTTGATATTCTAGTAGATATAGTTCTTTCTGCATGGAAAACGTGTGGATATCTAGACAATGGCGATCTATGTCGTCATTATCTCTAGAACTATCTGTAATCGAATAACAATGAAGAAGAGAAAGAGAGAGAGAGAGGGGGGCATATAATAGAATATAAAACTGACCTAACTATTTTTTTCTGTTTCATTCTTCTTCCATATATCTAACTTGTTTCTTATTTTTTTTGTTTTAACTTATTCGTTCGCGGTTTCGTCAGATCAACGTTTGCGAAGTTTCTATTGCAATCGCTATATTAGTTTTTCTTTATCTTAATCGGAACGTATAATAGTTGACTTCAAGTTTAAACCTTTTTCAAGTAAGTAATTGATTTTTCTCTTATAAAAATCACTTAATCAACTATCTAACTGTTAAAACCGACCAATCAGCTACTTAATTTAAACTGATAAAATATCTTTAAATAAGAATTAGTTTGTTATTGTAATCAATTAAGTTTCTTTCTCATTTAAGTAAGCTCAGGCTTATCTCTACAAGATCAGTATTTTAACAGGAGCTAGTAAATTTAAATTGATCACTGTAAGAAAAAGTCGCAAAAATTATTATCACGTGTACAATATAAACTTTGAACTCATTTTTGATACGTAGAAAGTTACAGTTCTTTTTTAGAACTATATGTGACAATTGTACGAATACAAAACTAAGTTGTAACTATTTTTCGTAAAATAAGGAAGGAAATATTGCATTGTACATCTTCTATTGCGTTTGGAGAAGAAAAAAAATGAATAAAATTAGTACTCGACAAACACTCGAATAACATATCATTTATTTTGTGTTCCATGTAAATATATACGTATATAAATTCGATTATCCAAGACATTGATCTGTTGTTCTTCTGTGTAATTTGAGCTCAAAGCTCATATTTTCTATATATCGTTAATGTTCGTTTTTTTCTTGTATATTGAATCGAACACTATGCCGTGTTCAGAAAAATACAATATAAGAGATACACATCACTCTGTTTTTATTCTTCGTTTTGTTTATTTTTCTCGGGTTAAATGTATGAGAATAAAATTTTTCTTTATTAAGTATTAGTATTTATTAAGGAATTATTTATCTAAGTACTAACTGATAATTTAATTATCTATATTATTTCTTTCATGCATATGACAGATCACGTTTATACACATACTTCATTTCCTATATTTGTTTTACTCGAAAACGATCGTATTTTGAATTTAAAATAGCAAAGATAATTGACTATATTGTATCCATTAATCATTCAGTAATTCTTGTGTAATTACGTCTAGAGATATGATACTTCATGATATATATGATGTTCTCTTTAATACTTGAAAAAACTAACAATATAATCTGTGTACTTTGAAAACTTAGTTTAGTTATCTTTTGAATATCGATAGAAATAATTTTTCTAAATCATACAATTTAGTGTTAACACAATATCAAATTCCATTCGCTTTAAATATGAATAATAACTTTCTAATAGAGACTTTTTTTGGTGCTGCCCATTATCATCAAATTGAGTTCCGAGTGTAGACAACAATAATTAAAAAGTCAAGAACAATGTGAAATTGGAACGTGTTTGTGTGTTTTTTTTTGCCACATCTGTTTCTATTTTGAGTATGTTTTAATCATTTATTTGAGCATTTAAGAAACGCGCATCTCGTGCAACGTATTTTATCGTTAAAGATATATCTGACTCCCTGTGAGATGAAATCCTTTTTTTGTACTCATTATATATCGAAATATATGTTTTCTTTACAAGGAAAAAATGATTTAGGCATTGAGTTTAAAAGAAAATGACTAAATAGCGATCATCTAACGTGCTGTAAAGAACAAAAGATCTTGTCAGTCAAAAATAAAAAAATTGTTTCTATCACCGCTATTTTTATCTTTCGTAACATTGGACAGACCACTGACAAAACTACAAACACACGCGTATGTATATAATTGAATAGTTTTTTTGTTTGTTATCTTTTTACGTTTATTAACTCGAAATAGATCTGTTTGTAATGGTTCTCTTTTTCTATGTATACTTGCTGTACAATCTTAATCGTTTTAATTTCAAATTTTTTTTAAAACTAAAACAACGAAACTATTTGAAATACTGTGAAAACATGCTTCATAATATAAACCTGTCACTTGATATTTGAGAGGACAGATTTGAGAGGAAAAGCGAATTTTAATAAAAATATAGAATTCACCGAACTGATATTAATATACTTGATGTAGTGAAACTATACGAAAAGACAAAGAAGAGGATCACATCTTAGGTCAGATGAAAGATATTTATAACAAGTTACTTTAAACGAATAGATTTTTGTTGTTGTAAGATTGTATCGAAATTGTATAATCGACTGCACAAAAATACTTTTCTTCTCATACGAATCAGTGTGAAACACGGCATTATTTTAAAAGTAAAGTTGATGCTAATAAAACCTACATGATATCTGTTTTCTCATATTTTAGATAATCAAATCGAATTAACGTCATTTTTACTATGGCACTTCCACGAATTTTTCCATTTATTGGTGCAGTTGTTGGTGTGTAAACTTGTTTTTTGCACAAATGATGTAAAATTAACCCTATTATGTTTAAATTCTTTTAGCCATTGCAGCTGTTGTTCTGACAGTGATTGGTGTCTCAACAGATTATTGGTTTTCAACATCGGTGTTCCATTCTGGTAAATGTGTTTTCTCTATTACAAAGAGCTGTTCTCTTAATTTTAGTTTTTTTAGGTTTATGGAGAAAATGCCTTGCGCATACTGCTTGTTCGGAAACAAAAGAAGCATCACGATCAGCAGCCATGGCAATTAGCGCTTTAATTGCAATGGGTAAATGTTGATATTTTCTGTGTGTAACAGAAACTAGTTTTCTTTTTGTTGGTATTTATAGCTATTGCTGGCTTATTAGCAATTGTTTCTGGTATTTTGTATAACAAAACTGATGGTAGCAACAATGTTGCTCGTTTATGTGGCTCATTGTCGGTTATTCTTCTCTTCTCAAGTGGTATTTTGATTGCAGCCAGTTTAATGACGTTCTTTTCGATCCAAACGGCAACTGGTTATTCATTTACAATAATGGCAATTGCGCAATTTTTATCGTTTCTATCTGCGATGTTGATTGCCTATTGGATGGTAAGCTAAAGTTTTGTTAGTTGGTAAAACTAGGCGTTAATCACCGTTCTTATTTAGGGACATGCTTATACACATGTTTCTTAAACAGCCAAACAAGTTGATGATTGTACTCTATTGAACTTTGATGGAACTAAAACAATTAGAACCTCGCATTTATCATACATCTATTCTAATCGAGATAGCTTTTTTTCGTCGTCTTGTCTTTCCTACTCTTTCTTCGAATCAAGCAATATTTTCCTTTCATTTTTCTCTTTTATTGTCGCTTGTTCATTTAACTATTGAAAATATCATCTTATATAGCAACATTTGCTTGCCTCTCATTCCATGTTCAAACTGTTTGTTATTTTTGCTTTTTATTGTAAACCGGAGTTTTCTCGTGTGATGAAATGAAAGAAGATCAAAGAAATAATAGTGACATTCAGTGCTATTTAGGGTACTAAGTGTGCTTGTTTTCTTTGAAAAAAATACACACACTTAGAGATGTATATCAGATGATGGTTTACTTGTTGTGACTTTTTTGCTAAGCATTTCACGTTAGTCGTAGCGAAATGCATGTTTTGATCCGTTTTGTCTATTTACGACTTTCTCCTTAATTGTGGTGTATCAGATCGTTCAGGTTTTCTGTTGCTTTTTTATGTCGAAATAATAAAAGAAAGTTGGTAGCATTTGAATTGGACGGCTTATTAAACCAACTATCTTCGGTCAATATGAATAAACTGAACATGGAATTTTCAGATAAAAATTGAAAAGAGATGTTAAAAGGTTCATTAGTATTTATGAACATGAACTACACGGGTCAAAAAAAGAAAAAATATTACTCTATTAACAAACTTCGTACAGAAAATTTTTTCTTTAATGTTGTTTGTCAGCACCAATTTTGACTTCCAATTGTCGACAAGAATATTTAATTATAAAAGAATGACGTAAAGTAGCCAGCATTACTAATCTGCCAAAATGATAAGAAAGAATTTTCAGCGCCAAATATCGAGCCCAAAGGGAAGAAAAATTTGTTAGATTTGGTAAGTGAATTCTCAACGAAAACAGCTTTTATTACTTCCGAATGCCTCCTTCGTTATGTGTTACAAAAGTGTTAAGCTTTTGATTTATTCTGTTCTTACCCTGTTTGTTATGTATTTGAAAGAAATTATATGCACTGAATACTTAAAAAGACCAATACTATTCAACGAAACTAGACGTTTACGAGAGATAACTACTGAAGAAGAAACAGTAGAAGTCACCAAAACCAATAGTGTTGAAATTATTATTGCTGCGGTCAGCACAGGTGCGACGCTATTAGGAGTATTGGGCACTATTGTATACAATTTTGCGAAAAAATGTTGTAAATCAAAAGGTTCTGATAAAAGAAAACGAGCCTCAAGTGATAGTGGTGCGACTTCGACAAGCGCAGTAGGTCGTGTTAAATCATTTCAACAAAATATACAAAAACAACAACAAAAACTTTTTCAACCGTCTGATGAATTTTCAATGAGTATTAAACGAAAATTATCAAATTTTGAATATGTTGATCCATCATGGTGGCAAACTACTAAACGTATTAAAAACTCGATAGAGAACAGAAATATTTATGTAATACCATCAAGTAATCCTACGCGAAATTTTGTTAGTGCTGCATCGTCGAGACCAAACTTTTACAGTATGTATTTAACAAGCTAATATTTTTAAATTATCGATTATTTTACACTTCTCATATTGAATATTTCGTCTATTAATCAATTTAATTATTACATCATTATTTGTTATTGTTGTTGTCATAGATTTTGATACTGGAAACAAAACTAACTCTTTTCCATGTTCAACTTTATTTATATTCTTAAATTTTGATAATGTACGATTAAAATGTAAATATTTGATAAATGATATGTTTTTGATTGTTCTTAACTCATTTATGACCGTATAGGAAGCGAATTAATTGATTTAGCCCGTTAATAAATGTTTTATATTTATACGTAGAATTAGTGTTGAATATTAGTTGTCAAATATTCAGCGAAACGGCAACATAATTCAAACTATTCAACACACAATTGTGATAAAAAATTTTGATTTGAAATACTTATATCTTAATGATGATAATTTCAATATTGAACGATATTTTAATAATATTGTGTGTGTAAGTACCAACTTTAAATAGAAGTGTTACATTATGCAATGCACACATACATCTCGCGATAGTGTACACATCAATACTTTAATATTAACATTAACAAAAACAATGTTTAAACAAGAGATGATCCTGCAATGAACAAAAAAGAAAATATTGGTTATCAGCCATGCCAAATACAAAAATGTTTAACATCAACGCCCATCTACATATCTGTCCTATAAGTAAAGTAAATTCGATGGTAATAAACAAAAACAATTTTGAGACACAAGACTAGAGTGGACTGACACCATGGAGTTTAAGAGAAACCGTACGATGGAAACTTTGCCTTTGCAGCAAAGTTGTGTATAGCAGAGGAAGCTTTTGCTTTCCAAGAAAGGCTTTATGTACCTGGGCATACCGACAATAGGCTGAAGAGTGTTTCGTGAATAACATATATGCATACATATATTATAGCATGTGGACATTCAGGAATGAACATTTTGCATCTATTCAAATAATAAACGTTGACGTTGCTGTTATCTCAAATATTTTCAAAGTATTCCTCATCACAAAAAGCAAATAACTCAGATTGAAAGAAAATTGATAATTACAATAAGTAGTAATAATAAGCATAAAATAGATTCTACTTTTCCAATAGAAAAATCTAGGAATACCTAGTAAAACCTAGGAAATTCGCATATTCTCTGTAAGGTAGCATGATTAAAACTTCTGTAAAGTGTAAATTATCTGCACGCAGGTATTACGCGCGATATATCAATGTAATATCAGAAGGCACGAAAAGTCGGTTATATCATTAAAAAAATATTAGCAAAATGTATTCATTTTATAGTTTTAAGTTATCGTACTTTACTAGTAACTTAATAGTGAGGCATATATCCTGTCGTATGATCCTACACGACATGCAGCTACAGATAACTATTTACGCACACTAATAAAAAAACAAAAAAAGTATGATGAACATTTGTTGAATTTGGAACAGAAGTTTGTTGTAAATGATTGTGTAGGTGTGCGAATTGATACAGTTGATAGAACTAATATCGATCCGAAACTCTTACCGTATTTGATTGTTGAAAAAAGTAGTAAAGATGGAACTGGTGTTTTTAGACTAGCTTGCCAATATGGTAAGTTAGTAAGTTTGTTTTCAGTTCAAGATCTTGTCGATTTGAAATCATCATGTCCTCAAGAATTACGACAAACTGATGTCAATGCTTTAGGTAATGTTACATTCATTGAAGCATGTAAACTTTATGCACAAGTGGTTCAACATGCGATTGTAAAAGTAAATGCGCTATGAAGCATTGCCCTTGTAAGAAAGCCGGAGTCCCTTGTTCAACAAAATGCCACTCTAAATGGGGTCAGTGTAATAACATAGGAGAATAGTAAGAGAATCGCCAATGCATGTACATAGTGTCTGATTTTTTTCTCTTTTTCCACGATAATTTTGTACACACAATTATGTAAATAAGATGATAAACTGAGTATTTAAACAAACTAAGTTATTTCGCGGACTGCCTTTGTGATTTAACTCTTGAAACTGTTTTGATTTTGTACATTCTTTAATTAGGAATCTTCTATGCTTGATTAAATTTTCTTATCTGTTATAGGTAGAATACTTGCACGTTGCTGTGTACATTTTTTATGAATGAAACGGAAAAGAAGTTGTTCTCCAGCAATGTTATTACTGGATGAAACACGAACGGTAGTAGCTCTAGGATCATCCAGAGGAATATCAATCAATAATGACGCCATCTGGAAACAACCTCACAAAAAAAAATTCATTACCACTTCGATAATCATGCCACCTTTATGCGGTGGAATGGATAAGTAACCTGTTCTCATATGGGCATACGCTTTATCGAAAGAGACTTTTTTTCTTGTACCGTTTCTTACCAGGAGCTAAATGGCTCATGAACGTCCAAGTGAAACTAAGAGCATAATTTGTAATATATGACTGAACTAAAATATTATATTTTTCAACCTCACTCGATTAGATTCCAAGTTAGACTGGATTCTAATATGGACTGAATAAGTTCAACTTGGAATTCCAATTTGGACTGGACCAGATTAGAATTCCAAGTTAGACTGCTTAATCTCTAGTCCATCTTGGAATTCTAAGTTGGTCCAGTTTAGATTGGAATTCCAAGTTGGACTGACGAGACCAATTCGGAATTGAACTAAATTCTAAGTTGGACTATAACATATCCTTATGTGTGACGTATGCGAGACATCAAGAAAAGATCAAGATACGCTAAAAGAGAAAACTCTAATCAAAAAAATAATATTATTAAACTTACTTCACTCGTCCACAATCAAATATCGTCAAGAAAATTCAATCCGATGATTCGATACGTTTGGTATCAATCAGACTATTTGAAAAACAGTCCTGTGCTTTCCAAAATGTCAACGAAGTCTGTTTTACATTGAATACTGATTCTGGTGTTGAAAAGACATGCGGTGATGTACCATTTATCATTTGTAATTGATGTCAAACAAGTGTTTTAATCATTTCCTGGTTGAATGTCATATGCTCGAATCTTCGCACGTCTTTTTGCTATTGTTTTGGAAACGAAGTAAAATTTTTACCGATATACAAAACCTTCAATGTTACTGTGACTTCTATAAGCAAAAAAAATTCAAAACGTTGCAAAGAAGTCACATGAACACAAATCTTTTTAGACTTTTTCTTAGAACAATATTCTTCGACGGCAGGCTTAATATCATTGAAAACGGAGGTACCTGGGAAGATTCCCTAATAACATAGTAAAAGTAACGTGCGCCGTTGTTGCAAATTAGTATTTGCTGAAAAATTTATATTTGCGAAAATTAAACGGAAGTAGTTTTCAAATAAAAAAAAGCAACCGAAAATCATTACGTGAGACAATTCCCAAATCAGTGTTATGCTGTTTAGCACGGATTTCATATATTCCTGAATGGCTACGTACGATGAAGATACAGCTGTATACGTAAACATCATTGCTATCACTAAATTGTTCATATAAGTCTCGCTGAAGAAAAATTTGTTTCTGAGAAATTGCGTTTTGCAACAAAACAAACTTTCCATGAAACCAGAGCAACTGGCTTCATCCTTTTACGCGCGTATTACTCTTTCCATACACAATACGTTGATGTTAGCGACAAGGTTTAGAAAATGTGATTTTAACTTCTTTTCGCTGACAATGAATAGGAAAAGTAATTGAAAAGAAGAACAAATTATCTGTCAGCGTTATTACACTTACACTAGAAAGTTAAAATGACGTTACTATTTATTGATTCAAGTTTACGTCCAATCAAGGCCTACGCTTTTCTGTCTTTATTATTTTTGCTCTTTCAATACAAGGTAACGCTCATCTCCGATTCGCTCGGTCCCTTGACTTTTGTGGTACTGATAAAGTGAGAACAAAATTGCTGTGCAAGTCTGTGCATGAAAATTACTTTCAGCACACTTTAGTTCGTAGAAGCTTGCAAAATAAGAAACGGCAGTCTTTTGTTTTTTCGTTAACAAGAGATAGCTGAAATTCGTTAGAACTCAGAAAAGCCATTACCATTTTAGTGCATGCAGGCCTCTATCAATGTCACTCTGTAGTCTTTGGCATCAGCTCCATTTAACGGTTACTGAACGTGTAAATAAGCGTTGTTTGATAGGAAGAAGAAAAGATATTTGAAACTAATATTAAATTTTTGCCGGTCTTATAGAGTAAAACCGAATGTTACCAAAACTACTTAAAATAATTTGATGTTTTCATTGCGATGAGATGTTCATTAAAAAGATCATATTCTGCTGTAAGAAGCATGTTTGCATAACCAAACATACCAACAGTAGATCAAGTCGAGGTAAGAGTGAATCACAGCTATCTACAGCATGAATGTGTTTGAGGGAGAACAAAGCCCAGAAAGAAATT